TTCAATTGTCATCTGTTTCTTGTTAGGACACCGATTGATGTAGTATGGCTCCCAGGTTGGCCCAAACAGACTGGAAAGACTGATAGTTGTGGGAGAGACATCATTTTTTTTTTTTTAATACAAGATGTAAAATGACTGACCATGCAGTTCTGATTGTCACAGATAGCCATCTCTTACAGCCTTGGAGGAACCTGGCTTTAAGTTATAAATTAAACTTACGGCCAGAGAGAATTTTTAAAAAATGCTGGTCCTTGCTGGCATCACAGAATTACCAGATCACCAACTCTGATCATGCACTACTTCTGGACTTCCAATTATGTGACCCTGTAAATATTTTTATTGTTTTATTTAGCCACTTCGAGTAGGATTTTTTCAGATTTTGAAGCTGAAAGTAACTTGATAGGTTCTGATAAGTAGAATTTTGGGTCAAGGGTACTCATATTTAAATTTTTAATATTATAGCCTCTGCAAAATTGCTTTCCAGAAAGGAAGTACTGATTCACACATCCATCCACATGGTGAATGAATATTTCCTCACATTATTACCTACTATCTTTTTAATTTGTGCCTTCCTGATGGGTGGAAATTGAATCTCATCGTTGCTTTGATTTGCATCTTGCTAAATACGGGTGTAGTTAACTATAATTACTCATGTTTGTTGGGCATTTATATTTTCTACTTGGTGAAATGCTCTTTACATCAATTGTTCATTTTTCTATAGGATTATTTGCATTTTTCCTATTGATTAGTAAGAACTATTTTAAAAGTTTGGTTATTATTTGTTTATTAGATGTGTTGCAAATGTTTTCTCTTAGGCAGTCTGTCTTTTTAACTTTTTGTTTCATGATGTGTTTTGTCCGAGTTTTGGCTAACATCTAAAGTTTGATGGCATTCAATTTATCATTTTTTCTTTCACAGCTTTTGCATTTTGTGTGATGCAGACCATTTGGAAAAGAAAGCTAAGTGTTCTCTGTACTTTGGATCTTTGTCCAGAAATTCCAAATTTTGGGCATTTAATCTAGAATACTTCCTTAAGTGTTGTACTATGGGCTGTCCAATTAAAGCTTTCTATTGCTTTAGCTTTTATTGTTGTTGTTGTGCAGTACAATTTGATCAATTGCTATTTTAAATTTGGAGAAATATGCCTTTACAATGGTCCAAAATAATGGTTTTGGTTCTTTTGTCTTAATTCTTTTAATGCTTCTATTTATTTTTGCCATTTTGGTGAGTAGCTTTGGAGTTATTTTTGTCACTTTGTCCTTCATTTTCACATGAGGGAGAGAAAGCTGTTAAATAGCATGCCGCCTATGTGCTAAGTCTTGGCTTTCATGGAGACCAGCTTCAGGAAGATGTGATGGATCAGCCCACAGGAAGCAAGTCTTAGACAATGGGCTTGGGCTGCATGGAGGCTTTTGGCATGTCCAACCACATCATTCCATCCACATCAAGTAAAGGCTATAACATAGGGACTGCCCCAAGAATTTCCTTGACATTTCCCCAAGCCCACTAGTGTACAAATAGCCCCCCAGTGGTCTCTGTGGTTCATGGTACAAACCATGTTGCTTCATCAGTTCAACTGGGGTGAATGCCAATTCTTTTCCAATGGCCAATCCCCAGGCAAGACTGCCAATCCTGCTTGTAGGTAGCCCTTGATAGGACCTAAGCTACAGTGCGTTTGGTCCTCTTTGTAGCCCCAAGGGAGCTGGTGGGCATCCCAGCAGAGAGCCCTCGATTTGGAGTTCAGAGTTAGAGATTCTAAGCCTAGTTCTACTTTCTATGACTAACTTGATTCTATGTAGTTGGCAAGGGTAAGGGCCAGATAACCTTTACAAATCCTGGTTCCTTTTGATTCATTAGTTATGATTGTCAGACTGGTTACATGGATAAGGTATTATAGAGATTGGGCATCTATAAATAGATTCTAGAGATTGTAGTGGTGGTAAATAATCAAGTTCTCTCACCCACCTGGTTTCCATTGATGTTCTCTCAACTCAATAAGGTCATGAGCATTTTAAGTGACCAAACTATCAGGATTTTTTACAAAAAAAATGTAGCTAATAGTATCTTAGAGCTTGAAAACTGAAATCTGGGCTAAGTGTTCTCTTAAAATCATTTCCATATCTAGGAAATTTGGCCTTGTGAATACTTACTGGAATTCTATTCAAGTCACACTTAATGATGTGCGTCGTCATTTTTCTACATGATAATAAAACCTTAATAGAAAGAATCTGGCAATGGGACTATATTAACTTAACAAAACTATATTCTTTGCTTCTTATAACCAGCATCAATATTGATGGTCTCCTCAAGCACAGCTAGGGTATCATGTAATCTTAATAGTCATCCCTTCTACTTTAAGATAAATGTCTTAGGCCATTTCTTCAGAGATGGGCTCTCTGCTCTTCAGTTATCACCCCCTATCATCACTCCTATTCCCTCTAACTTCTCTGACACCCATTCACACTAAAGTTTCGACTGGGGACTTCAGGATGGGTGTGGAGTGCTGGGAATCCTAGGAAGGGCTGAGTTCTGGGAAGCTATTGAAAAGTTGGGACCAAGTGGAATTACAGCCTGAGGCTAAAGAGGACACATGTCATCATACTACCCAGGCTTTTGTAACCTTCATCTAGGCATGGAAAATTCAAGCTATATCCACAGGCTTTTGAATCAATGAAAATGCAGCTCTCTGGGTTGTGTCCCTTGGGCCCTTTGAGCTTCTCCTTGTCGACCCCTCTCCTCCCCGCTCATGGTCCATGCAGCCACCAGATTGTGCTCTCTTTTCAGAGGCCTGAGCATCAGTTTGGCAGAGAACTCCTGCCCCTGCTCCGTGATTTGGGCATCAGTACTACAAAATCCCTCCTTTGAGCTCCTAGGTTATTTTGTTCCCTTTTGTTTCCTTTGTTATTACTATGTGGGATACCACAGCAATTCCTTTTTGCTGTTTGACCTTCCAACATAGGTATACCTGATTGATTGTATTCAGTCCCCTTTGTTTGCCATTCCTAGTGTGGGCACTGCTTTCAGACCGGATCCTGGCTGAAACAGAGGCCTAAGTGATTTGGGGGTCAGAAGATGGAGACTTGTAGATGCTATCTTGTGGTGAGCATTCCAAGAAAGGGGTATGTTGACTGACATGTAATGGAGGGGTCTTCCACTGTGCACAGGGGATTGAGGAGGGGACACTGGCTAAGTGTATCTGAATTTGAACGAAGTGTATCTGAATTCATGATCATTCTGTCCTAGGGTAACAGCAACTGGAAGCCAAAAGTGACAGAGTTGGGACCTCAATAGGAAAGCAACATGGTCCTCTAATACCAGAAAGGAGATGGAGGTGGAGAGTAGGAGAAGTTGAGCAAGGAGATGCTTTCCAGGGCTGATAAGACAGGCTCATGAAGGAGCTTATCTAGAAGGCTTGGTTTCATTCTTTGTACTTTTTCCCCCTTACAGACAGGTGAATATGAAGCTGTGGGTGCTTCAAGTCTGTCTCTTAAAATTCACCTCTCTCAAGTTTACTTGTGCCTCAGCAAATTTTTTTGCTTGACTATAGCAGATGGGATGAGGTGTGTAAACATGATATAAAAGAATAGCCATTGCCACTTATCAGGAGCCTATAAATGTCCTGCATTACTGGGGTAGAGGGTGGGGGATAAGTTGGAGTCTGGGGCTCAGTTTCTGGAGAAATCACTGCCTACATCTTTAGTTCTTAGGTGGCTCTGAAGTCCACTGCATTTTGGGAGTACCTGGAACGAGGCTTGCCTCAGTGAAAGGACCAGTCTGCTTAGTCCCTGTGGCTCCCCAAATGGATGGAGATGCGTCTCTGAGGGGCTGAAAGGGTGTTAAGTAGAGGAGCTCTTCAGCCTGGCTCTCCATTCAGGTGTGGCCTTAGGTAGGACAGGCAGGTGGCAGACACACCAGCCATCGGCATCCTGTCTGAAGCACACAGCTAACTTTGCTCTCATGGGATGCCCTTGGCCTGACTGTATAGGGCAAGGCTCCCAATCCCAGGAGATGCAGTCCCTGAAATGAGGGTGCCAGGCATGTCCAGTCTTGACTGCAGAGTGACATGGCAGGAGAACTGAGCTCTGGGGAAGTCCCTTAGTCTCCCCTTTCTAAGGAGCATAGGATCTGTCATCAACCCTTTTTCCTTATGGTTGACTTTGTGGGGCTTGGCTTGGCATTTATTTCTCAGGGAGCCCGGACAGGTCAGACTTGTGCCAATTCTGGGATTTCTTCACCTGAGCCTCACAGGATCTTCTGGCAGGAGGAACTGGTTTTCTTTCAGATCACATTTGTCACACCCCACCCAGGAAGGTGGGGCCACCCTCTCAGTTAAATGGCACAGGCTCTGTCAGAGCCCATCACTAATCTTGGGACTGCTGGAGCTGCAATTCAGTCTCCTGGACTTTTGATAAAGGCCTTCCTTGCCAGGTGCAGCTGATAGCTGGAAAGCTCTCCGACTCTGGAGTCTTCCCTCTTTTCTGTGCTTTGGGGCTCAACAAAGGGAGGGGCCATGCCAGGCTGGCTCTGTGCATTGTCTTCTGTGGGGCTGCTTCTCATTGGGGAGTTGCTGGGATCCTGGTGGAGCTGCCCTGGCATGGGACTCTTCCCTGCTCCTAGGGAGAAATGATGCCCATGAGGGGAGGGGGTTTGGGGGGCAGGAGACACTGGCATTAGGGGCCTTGGGGGTATTTGAGGTCAAAAGTCATGGCTGGCCTTGGAATTCCTGGCAAGATACTGTCATTAGCTGGATCTCTGGGTGGAGGAAAATTCTGCCTGATTTCCCCTCCCTGAGACTGCTTTGAAATTTTGTTCCAGATGTGGCTCATATCTTTTGACCAGAGCTTCATGTCAGGCTGGGTTTCTCAGCTCCCTGTCTAGCATGAGGGCTGAGGGACTAGTGTCCTGGAAGGCCTTGGAAACATCTCCTGTAGCTCACCTCTATGTCTGTCCTCACAGGTGCAGAGACAACCTCACTATGACAGGCAAAAAAAACCGATACCATGACCGTGGACCATCGTCCACTCACCAAGCAGGTGATACTGGGTGGGGCTCTAGAGGTGGTGGGGGTGGGGAGGAAGGGTGGGGAGGATGATGGGCCCTGACCTCACAGCTGTATCCTCTGGACATCCCAGCATTCTCTGTCCCTCCTGTGCATGACCCCTCCTACCTGGTGCTCTCTACCTGCCATTGGACTGTGGGCTTCTGGAGGGTGGGAACTCTTGCTTAGGCACTGCTCTGGCCCTATTCCCCAGCATTGGGCCAAGCACAGAGTAGGCACAGAAGTGAGTAGCTGGGCCTTGACACACATGTACCATGAGATTGCTTATTATCTGCCGTCTTGATGGTTTGCCCTCCTAAACCACTGACAGCCTTGCCCTCCTCATCAGAGCCCACAGCTTTACTAGAAAGAAAGGCTGGGCCAATGGGTCATGTGAGTGCTGCCAGTTTTGGTGTCAAGCCCAGACTTTCCTCACTGAAGGGCCCGGATTAGATGGCCTTTCCTTTAGAGCAGATGTCTTGATTATCGTGTTTCTTAATTCCTTTTTTTTAAGAAGTCAAGAGCCCTAAGACTGGGCAGGTCAACGATTTGAATCAGCAAGTGTGGGCCCTTCAGGGTCAGACCCTTGTGGCAGTTCCACAGAGTGACCACGTGGATCCAGGTGAGTGGTCATCGGTGGCTGCCTCGCCCCTTGCACTTGTGTGACTGAGATGCTGGCGCGGCCTTTTGTGAAAGTGTGGCTTTGCAATGGGGCCCACCTGGAGGCGGGAATTTTACACCTGTCTGGGAGGAGAAGTCAGGGAGAAGTTAGTCTTAGATTAGGGTAAAGAAATTAAAGATGGGATAGAAGCCTCCTGTGGAATAGGAGAGCTGCTTTCAGGGACCTGAAGGCCTGTCTTATGAAAGAGGAGTAGCTTATTCTGAATGACCACAAGGTGTCCTAAAAGGGCTATATGGATGAATACCTCAGGAAGGCAGTTTTTGACATCACATCAGGCAAAACTTGCTAATGCGCAAAGCTCTCCAGGGATCAGAAGGACTGGTTGGTGTAGGTGCTTCCGGTCTCCAGGTGTTCAAGTAGAAGTGTGAAAATGACAAGGCCAGGATGTGCAATCTGTTTAACTCTCTGTTTGTCCATTTATTAGGGCAAACACATGGTGTGAATGGATGCATGAATGGATATGGTAGTTGACCATGTGAGGGTCCTAGGGTATCAGGGATTACACTCTTCATGTCTCTTCCAGACCCACTTGGAGGAGCTTGCCCTGCTCAATCAGAGTCTTTTCCGACTTTAAAAGGAAATTGACACCATCTCCCATATCTTTATAGTCACTGTCACTGCTGTCACATGCAAGTATCCAGAGGCTCTTGAACAAGGCAAAGGGGATCCCATTTATTTGGGAATCCAGAATCCAGAAATGTGTCTATTTTGTAAGGATGTTGGAGGACAGCCCACACTGCAGCTGAAGGTGAGTGACTACGAAAAATAATATGGGGGGAAAAGCATCAATTTTTCTTTCAGAAGAAGTATTAAGCAGAAGATCTAATTTTACAATTAAAAAAGTATTCTTTTCTTAAAAATTTTCTTTTCTTTTTTCTTTTTTTGTTAGAAATGTGGTTTCACTCTGTCGTTCAGGCTGGGGTGCAGTGGCATGATCATAGCTCACTGTAGCCTTGAACTACTAGGCTCAAGAAATCCTCCTGCCTTAGCCTCTTTGAGTAGCTGGGACTACAGGTGTATACCACCATGCCTGGATAATTTTTCTTACTGTTTTAGAAACAAGGTCTCACCATGTTGCCCAGGCTGGTCTCGAATTCTTGGCCTCAAGTGATCTTTCTGCCTCAGCCTCCCAAGTTGTTGGGATTATAGGTGTGAGCCACCAAGTCTGGCTCTCTCATCTTCCTAAGCATGTGCATTTCCAGCTCCTTTTGAGTCATTTTCTTTGATTTATCCTGCCCCTCAACAGTTGAGAACACCCCTGTCTTTCCTAAATTTTGAGATATTCTCAGCCATTGTTTCTTCAAGTGTATTCTCTGCCTTATTCTGCCTTTGGCATTCCCATTCATCCTTCATTGGAACTCCTGCATCTCACTTCAATATCTTACAATATCTCAGCTAATTTTCCATACTTTCTTTTTTAAATTTTATTTCAGCATTTTATAGGGGTACACACGTTTTGGTTACATAATTTGCTTTTGTACAGTTTGAGTCAAAGTTACAAGTGTGCCCTCCACCCAGTTAATGTGCATTGTACCCATTAGGCGTCAATTTACCCATCACCTCCCCCACTTCCCACCTGCTTGATTTCCTTTGACTTCCATATGTGCACATAAGTGTTGATCTACTAGTTCCAATTTAGTATTGAGTACGTATTGAGTACACATGGTGTTTGTTTTTACATTCCTACAAGATTTCATTTAGAAAAATGCTCTCCAGTTCCATCCAGGTTGTTACAAAAGAAACTAGATCACCATTTTTTTTTTTTTTAATGGTTGAGTAGTGCTCCATGGTATACATATACCACATTTTATTGTTTGCAGTGACTGTATTTTATTTTTGTGCTGCATTCTGGGAGAATTTCTTGGTTTGCTCTCCCAGCTCATGATTACATTTTCAATGTTGTCCCATCTGCTAAATCATCCTTCTGTAGCATTTCCTGAAATTTCAATCTTTACTATTTTAATCCACAAGCTTTTGGTTGGTTCTTTTATTTTTTAATGACTGTTCTTGTTCTGTAAACTTCTGTTTAATTCAATTCAACTCAACTCTATCCAATTCAATTCAGCAAACATGCGGGTACTTCCTGGCCTCCATCACTCTGTGGGCACCTGAGATACATCTGTGCAGAGAATGGCAAAGGGCCCTCATTACATGGGGCTTGGATTCTAGTGGGAGAAGAGAAACTGCAAACAGTAAATGTATTAGTAGGTAAATTTGTGCTATGTTAAAGGGACCATGTCTCTGAGAAAAGACCAGGTAGAGCAGGATAAAGTGACCACAGTGCCAGAAACAGAGAGGGGTCAGGGGTAGCACAGTAGGCATCACTGCAACGGTGAGATAGTCGCAGGGAACAGAAGGAGGCAGGGAAGTTCGTCAGCAGGGTATCCAGTGAGGACAGGTGCACAGAAATGAATTGAGGAAGGAGGAGTCCAGAGAGATAAAGGAAGACCATGACGGGCCTTGCTGTCCTCTGTAAGGATGTAACCTTGCAATCTGAGGGAAATGGGAAACCCTTAAAATATTTTGAACAGAAGAGTGACGTGAGTGGACTTGGGTCTAAAAGGATCACTCTAGCTCCTAATTGATCACAGACTGTGAGGGCAAGGGTGAGAATCTTTCAGGAGGCTGTAAGGTGATTTAGATGTGACTTGATGGGCCAGGGGATAGCATTGGAGGTGAGGAGAAGTGGGTCAGATTCTGGGAGTACTTTAAGTGAAGACAATAGGATTTGCTGATAGAGTGAGTGTGATGCACAAGATGAGGACAGAATGACATTTTCCACTATGTCCTATTGGCTGAATTTCCCTTCTGTTGTGCCTTTGTCCTCACATGGGGACTAAGACTTCACCATTGTATTTGGCATGTGTGGGTCATCGGGGACCTTGGTGAGGGCAGTGTTGCTACAGTGGTGGGTGCAAAAGCCTGGATGGAGTGAGTTAAAAGAGAGGAATTACAAGAGAGAAATCAGAGACAGGAAATATAGACAGCTATTGCAGAGTTTTGCAAAGGGGAACTGGCAGTGATGGTGGGTAGTCAAAGCAGTTATTTTTTTGAGATGGTAGAAATGACAGCAAATATGCTGTCAAATATGCTGTGATTGAGTAGAGCAAGCAAAATTGATGGAGAACAAGAGAGCAGGGAGAGAGGAACGCCCTTAAGTCAGCAAGTGCAGAAGGGACTGGCCACCCAGACCTCCTCGGGCAGGGAGGCATGGGTGTGAGTGTGATGTGCTGGGGGCCATGTTACAGGGTGGTTTGTGGAAGTTCTCTCCTAACTGTTTCAGTTTTCTCAGTGAGTAAGAAGTTGAAGTTGAGGATGGAGGAGGAGGTATGGGAGTGTGAAATAGCGGTTAGTAGGGTGTAGAGTAGGTTCAAGAATAGTTAGAAGGTCATCCTAATTGTCCAGGTGAGAGATGGCGATGGCTTGGCTTGGGGTTGGCAGTGTATGTGTGAGTGTGCAAGAAGTGGCTCAGTTCAGGAAATATTTTGAAAAGAGGGTCCACAGGCCTTGCTGCTGGGTTAGATATTAGGGAATCAAAGAAAGAAGTATCGAGAATGACTCCTGGGTTTCTGACCATCCAAAGAATTAGATAAATTAACTGGAAGCCATTAATTGAGTAAAGGAACCCTATGGGAGAATTCCCCCACTCAGTGTGGAATGTGGCTGAATTAAAGACCATTTCTGTGCCTCTCTTGAGATCTTGCACAGGTGTAATTTACTTAGAAATTTCTATTTTACCTGAATATACAATATATGCATATATAAATGTACACACACATACACAATATACTTTGGTATACAATATAGAAGGCATTTTCTGATTGCTCTATTTACTTTGTTCCTTTGGTGCAAATCATTTGATTTATTAGACCCTCTTGTGTCTTTGTCATGGTATTCATAGTTCTCATATGTTTGGCAATTGGTTGGAGACTCATACCCCAACCTGGCCGTCCTTTGCCATAGCAGTGGTTCTTGCAGGGTAGAGGCTCTCACTGTTGTGGCATTGCTAAGGGAGATCCTTGGCTTATTGCTGCCAATTTGCATCCTATTCCATTTCCTGGAACATCCCCCAGTCTCTTGTGTGAGGATAGTCCCAAATCATTTTTCAAGTGTGGTCGCTTGTTCATTAAACTATCCCTTGTATCCTTTCCATGCCATCTCTGGATTTGAGGGTGGAGGCTTGGAAGGTGAAATTTTGTATGTGTGTTCACACTGTTGCTCCTTTGAAATATGTTTTTCTAGGCCTGCTCTAGTAGAGGGATAAGGCTTTCTAGAACTTTGGAACATTTGCTGGTTGTGTGCAAATCACTTTGAACATCTCAAACAGCTACTATTTCTTTTCATGTATATTCTCTCTCACATTTTAGGAGGAGAAGATCATGGAACTGTACAACCGAGACAAGCCCGTGAAGCCCTTCCTTTTCTACCGTGCCAAGACTGGTAGGACCTCCACCCTCGAATCCGTGGCCTTTCCTGGCTGGTTCATCGCCTCCTCCCAGGGAGGCCAGCCCATCTTCCTCACTTCAGACCTGGGGACATCGTACAACACTGCCTTCGATTTCAATATAAATGACTGAACTAGGCCTAGAAGTGGCAGCTTGGTCAGAGGACTTTGTGTTAAAGTTTCTTGTTCCCAGTGTTTTTTCACCTATATTTTCCCAGTGTCATTTTGACTCTAGTGCTGAGAGGTGAGAAGGGCCTCTTTTCTCACCTCATTTTACGGATGCAGAGGAAGCATTGACTTCATAGCAACTGAAAAACAGGATGTGGGCTCAGAAGCAGGGGAGACGGAGTGGTGTAAGGCTCTCCTCTCAAGCTGACACTGTCCAGCCCACAAGGCATCTGCACAAGTGACATCAAGACCCAAACACTAGACCACGGGGCCTTCTCCTGGGTGTGGATATGAAGAGGCCTCAGAGCTTATGAGTCTTACCCAAGATTGCATAACTAGCATCAGCATGGAGTTGATCTCTGTTTCTGTTTTGCTTTGTTTTCTTTCCTTTTTGGATGACATCATCCATAGTCTTTATATATTGCCCATATACCTCAGTGTGTATAATAGATCCTTTTTAAGGTTAGGACCTTTTAAAGAAAATGTTTTGCATTAAATTAAATCATTTTTGTCCTAATTATAATGTATGAACATATAGCTAAATATAAACTTCATATATTAATATTTATACGATAATAAAGCTAAAACAGATGTAAAATGGAATAAAGAAAAGAAAGAGTAAATTGAAATTAGCAAAAGTAGTTGAGTGAAGGCATCACAATGGGTGGGCCAGGGACTGGTGCTTAGCTGGAGATGGAAGGTCCTTGGTCCATGGTAATGGTGGGAAATTCAGTATGTAAAAGGGCACCACTCTTTGACTACTTTTTTTTGACAGTCTCACAACTTTGTTGAATTCAGTTTGCTAGTAGTTTGTTGGGGATTTTTGCATCTTACGTTCATCATCTTATGTTCATCTTATGATACTGGCCTGTAGTTTTCTTTTTTTGTTGTTGTTGTGTCCTTGTCTGCTTTTGGTATCAAGGAAATAGGATTTGGTATCAGGGCTTCATGGAATGGGATTGGAAGAATTCCATCCTCTTTAGACTTGTGAAATAATTTGGAAAGAATTGGTGTTAGTTCTTCTTTAAATGTTTGGTAGAATTCAGCAGTGAAGCCATCAGGTCCTGGGCTTTCCTTTGATGGGAGACTTTTTATTACTAATTCAATAACCTTGCTCGTTATTGGTGTGTTTAGATTTTCTGTTTCTTCATAGTTCAGTGTTGGTAAGTTGTCTGTATCAAGAAATTTATCTATTTCTTCTAGATTTTCCAATTTGTTGGCATGTAATAGTTCATAATAATCTGTGATGATTCTTTGTATTTCTGTGGTATAACTTGTAATATCTTCCTTTTCATCTCTGATTTTATTTGGATCTTTTCTCTTTTTTTCTTAGTCTAGCTAAGGGTTTGTCAATTTTTTTTTTTTTTATCCCAGGGTTTTGTGAGGGTACAAACATTATGGTTACACTTTATGTCTTTGCCTCACCCAAGTGCAGGTTAAAGGCATGCCCTTCCCCCCTACAGTGCTCCCCGGGTCCTTTAGTTGTGGATTTCCTCCCCCAACCCCCTAATCCCTAGAGAGTATTTCTGCCATGTGATCACCCTAGTGTTGATCAGTTAGTACCAATTTGATGGCGAGTACAAGTGGAGCCCGTTCTTCTGCTCTTGTGGTGCCTCACTTTGGATAATGGGCTTAAATTTAATCCAGGAAAGTATAAGAGGTTCTAGATCACTGTCGTTTCTTATGATTGAGTAATATTCCATTGTAAACATATACCAAATTTTAATAATCCACTCATGGATTGACGGGTACTTGGGTTGTTTCCACATCCTTGCAATAGTGAATTGTGCTACCATAAACATTCGGGTGCAGATATCTTTATCGAAGAATGTTTTGTGCTCTTTTGGGTAGATGCCTAATAGTGCTATTGCTGGATCGAATGGTATTTCTATTTTTAGCTCTCTGAGGTATCTCCAAATTCTTTTCCACAGAGGTTGCACTAATTTGCAGTCCCACCAGCAGTGTAAGAGTGTTCCTATCTCTCCACATCCTCACCAGCATTTGTTGTTTTGGAATTTTTTGAAAGAGGCCAATCTCACCGGGGTTAGGTGATACCTCATTGTGGTTTTGATTTGCATTTCTCTAATGATTAGAGATGTTGAGCATTTTTTATATGTTTGCTGGCCATTATTCTGTCTTCTTTTGAAAAGTTTCTGTTCATTTCCTTTTCCCATTTGTTAATGGGGTTGTTTGATTTTTTCTTGTTGATTCTTTTGAGTTCCATCTAGATAGATTCTGGTTATCAGCCCTTTATCAGATGTGTAGAGAGCAAGTATTTTTTCCCATTCTGTGGGCTGTCTATTCACTCTAATGATAGTTTCCTTGGCAGTGCAGAAGCTTTTTAGTTTGATTAGATCTCACTTATTTATTTTTGTTGCTGTGCTGATTGCTTTGGGGTTCTTCTTCAAGAATTCCTTGCCTAGGCTGATGTCTGAAAGGATCTTCCCAACATCTTCATTTAGAATTCTTAAGGTTTCATGCCTTAGGTTTAAGTCTGTTATCCATCTTGAATTGAGAGACAAGACCAAAACTTTCAAGAAATCGGGTTTGTCAATTTCATCTTTCAAAAAACCAACTCTCTGTTTTGTTGATCTTTTGTATTTTTTAATCTCTATTTTGATTATTTATGCTCTGATCTTTATTATTTCTTTCCTTCTACTAATTTTGGGTTAAATTTGTTTCTGTTATTCTGGCTCCTTAAGGTACAATGTTAGGTCATTTATTTGAAATCTTCCTTCTATTTTGATGTAGGTGTTTATTGCTATAAATTTCCCTCTTAGAACTATATCTCACGGGTTTTGGTATATTGTGTTTCCATTCTCATTTTTCTCAAGAAATGTAAAAATTGTCTTTTTAATTTCTTTGTAGACTCATTGGTTGTTAAGGAGCATGTTGTCTAATTTCCATGTATTTGTAAAGTTTCCAAGGTTTCTCCTGTTAATGATTTCTAGTTTTATACCATTGAGGTCAAAGAAGATACTTGATATGATTTCAATCTTATTAAATTTGTTAAGACTTGTTTTGTAACCTAACATATAACATATAACCTAACAAAAAACCTATAACCTATCCTGAGGAATGTTCCATGGGCAGTTGAGAAGAATGTGTATTCTGTAGCTGTTCAATGGAATGTTCTTTAAATGTCTGTTCGGTCCATTTGGTCTGGAGTACAATTTGATATTTCTTTGTTGATTTTCTGTCTGTATGATCTGTCTATTGCTGAAAGTGAGATGTTGAAATCCC